AATTACAATCACATGTTTTATTTACAGCGAAATCATAGAAGCCTGTACATAACATATTATTTTTGTTGAGTTTTCAGTCGAATGTTAAATACATGTAACACTACAAAGTATAAATACAATAATCAAAGAATAACAAGAAGCATACCGGTAATAGAATAAGTTACTTACAACTGCATGTAGTATCAAACCAATAATTGCAAATACAAATTAATGTGAATGATAATAAACGGTCAAATATTAAAATAACAATTTTATAAGCGTATTGTGAAAATGTAAATTAACAAAAGTAAAGAATTATTAACAGTAATGTTTTAAAAAATAAAACACCAGAGAACAATTAATTAAATTTATGGTAAGATATAAGACGTCCAAAAAATATATCTGAAACTACAAGATTGTTAAGACTAATAACTGTTGATATACTACTAGGCCAGTCAATAACAGCATTCAACATCGCAAACGCGCATGTATCTACGATTTTTTTATATGTTGTTAGGTCCCCTAAGAGTAGTTTATACCCAAGTTTGCAACCCTGAAAACCCTGTGCTACTCCCATGATACTTGAAAAACTGTAAAATTCTGGATCTTTTTTGTTTTATTGAAAAAAACTAAGCAAATGAAGCGTTTATCAGGTATATGTGTCCTATACTTTTTTAAAGTTAACTAAATTTGCAACAATTGGAACCCATTTTGAGCCCTTTAAGCCCATTTCTTTCGGATATACAGTTAGTAAAAAATAGGAATATTTTTTCAAACATTGAAAGATTATCAGTAGGCTCATATACAGAGATGCGTACCGGCTGAAGTAATGGTCATAGAGAAAAGTCTTTAAGCAAGATTTTGTAGAAAATTTAATACGCTTTAATTTAATTCCAAAGTGGTGTGTCTAGGCCTTACAGTTTCACAAAAATTTTAAAATATAAAAATACCATATTTTTCGTATATGTTGTATTTTGGGTTGTATTTCTTAAAAAGATTTGGACTCTACCTTCAATACATGCTTGGCCTAAAAAGCACATGAAGTCAGACGAGTATCGCACATTCAGGGGGATCCTTCACTATACGTCGGTCTGATAAGTTCTGGTCTGGTTTGTGGACAGATTTGACCACGGAACAGTTGCGAGAGACACTGCAGACACCAAAAAATAAAGATCTGGTTCAAAACCCACCCTCCATTCCCAGTCAGTGATCGCCTCTTTTTCATCCACAGTGGTATCGTCAGAAGTCCTGATATCAACTGCCACTTAGCTTAAGAACTGGGAGTAGGAGGAGTGAAACAAAATGTTGGTAACAACTTTGGTAAAGTGACTTTTAAACGAAAGGACAAGGTGAAGACCTTGACGTCAGGCACCACGTCTGTAAATGTATTCATCAAGAGAGTTGATGTTGATCTCCTTACCATGTCCCAGAGGGTCTGCGTCACAAAACAATCAGATGAACAATTGAAGCAGCATTTAGCGTATGAGCTAACACCGAATCCACTGTCCTTATTCACTGGAGAAGGAATGCGCAAGTGCACAAAATCTTCCTTCTATTCAGCATTTACACCGCTCACTGAAAACATCATCCCAGAAAACGAAGCGTTCATAGTAACCACTTTAAACCACTTTGGTAAAAACGTTGCTGTGGTATTTGATGGATACCTTCAAGATGCAGCTATGAAGAGCACTTAATCAGCTGAACGCCTGTGACGCTCTACTTCTCTCTCATGCGGTGATATTTTGTTTGATGCAACACCCATCAAAGTGTCCCAAAAAGCAAAAATGCTCTCAAATGAATCTGACAAACACCGACTGATCACCATGTAGTGTACTGAATTTGAGATGAATGGTATTTAAATACATCAATCTCAAGAGGATGCCGATGCTGATATATTGAGGACTGCCCTCTCCAAGAGTTCTTCGTGCGATCAGGTTTTTATCATTGGGGGGGATGTCGTCTTGTCTTACTGGTGCCCCTCAACGGATTAAGCTCTGGACAGACGAACGTGTACTTCAGAAATTGGGAGAGGTGGATCAAAGTGTAAATTCTTTCACATGTGGAGAAATGCATGTTCCACGGGAGATGGTTTTGTTCCTGCATGCTATTTGTAGGTGTGACACCACATCTGCCCTTTTCTGGCAAAGCAAGATGAAGGGGTGTAACGTCCTAAAAAACCCCCCGAATGGATAGACCTTGACAGCATTTTCTTTGGCCAAAACACCAACCAGGAAGAAGTAGAAAATGCTGGGAAGAAGATTTTAACGAACCTCTATGGAGAGTACAAGGGAACGCTGAACACTCGATATACAGCATTTGTAAAATCGGCAGCAACGGCAAAAGTCAACCTTGCCCACCTCACCCCCCCCCCCCCCCCACACAGAGGCTGCAAGATATCATTCTTTGAGGACCTACCATCAGGTGAAAAAATGGTTATGGGTTGATAAAAAACCGCGTGACTGGGAATGGGCCACCACCATTGAGCAAGGTTTAATGCCCGTCACAATGTGCGTAGAGCCCGTTCCTCACATCCTGCTTTGAAATGGTAGCTAGCAAATGCAAAAAAGGCTGCGTAGGGTCGTGCACTTGCAGAAAGGCTGGGCTCAAGTGTTCTATTATATGCCTCTTTTGCCAAGGACAAAATTGCAACAACATCACTCCTATCGTACTAGATGAGGATGTAGACCACCCAACACCATTTGACAACCCAACCTCAAACTGTGTTAAATCTTTAAAATGTCAATTTCACATTCTTGCACTCTTTAAAAAAATAAATAACAACAGTAGTCAGTACCTACATTGATGACATCATTAAAGCAAAGTCTATTTTAATATTTATTAATTTTTTTAGGAAGCTATAGGGCCTAGACACACCAATTTGGAATTAAATTAAAGCTTATTAAATTCTCTACAAAATCTTGCCTAAAGACTTTTCTCTATGACCATTACTTCAGCCGGTACGCATCTTGGTAAATTAGCCTACCGATAATCTTTCAATGTTTAAAAAAATATTCCTATTGTTTACTAACTATATATCCGCAAGAAATGGACTTAAAGGGCTCAAACTGGGTTCCAATTGTTGCAAATTTAGTTAACTTTAAAAAAGTATAGGGCACATATACCTGATAAACTCTTCCTTCACTTAGTTTTTATCAATAAAACAAAAAAAGAGCCGGAATTTTACAGTTTTTCAAGTATCATGGGAGTAGCACAGGGTTTTCAGGGTTGCAAACTTGGGTATAAACTACTCTTAGGGGACCTAACAACATATACAAAAATCGTAGATACATGCGCGTTTGCGATGTTTGCCTTTTTTCATGTAGATATTGACTGGCCTATACAACAAAACAGTAAAAATAGTCACTTACGAAAATTACTCGTACAAGCAATGAATACCTGCTTATTATTGAAATAATACCTGAACTATAGCAGTACACTCAACTTAGTTTTAGTAGAATATAATTTAACGTGATACATATTTAAAACAGTTAAAATAATTCTTTATCACGAAATGATTTAGTTTATTATTATATAATATTGCACATTGGATACATAGAATATCACCTTATATCACGTAATATATAGGAGATCACGTTTTTTACGTAAATAAATCTTAACTTTGATACATCGTCCAAAGATAAATCGATGGTTTAAACCCCAACTGAAGATAAAAGACCAACTATAAAAAAAAAATAAAACTATTCTCAAATTGAAGGAAATCGTCTTTTGTAACAAAGGATATTGTCTACACTTAATCATACAATACCTAGAGGGGAAAATAATAAACCCACTACACTACACTGTTTACATCATTACGATATTTTTTCATGAGCTCTCAAAATAAAATTGGTGTTGGATCTTGGGAAACAAATATTGGAGTTTATAGTGTTACTCAGTTTCATGAAGTAAAAATCATTTAGCAACCTTTTTACTTTCTCCCCCTCCACAATAATTATGGAAAAAGTATTGTTTTCGTCAATATTTTCGAGTTTGAGTTCTGGGTCACCATTAACAAAAAACATTGTTTTCGAAGAGATTTCTGTCTGTGTGTATGTGTGTCTGTCTGTTTTTGTGGATGTGCAGAGAGCTACAGACCCCACATGGGGTCCGATTTTGATTTTGAGGTCACTAATCCATAGCATCTCCAGGAGTTTTTTTTAACTTTTTTATTTGATTTTTATTATGGTTTTCTAAAAATCCGCAAAATAACAAAGAATCAAATGTTTTTAAAAATTGTTCTGAACGATTTTGATTAGATCTTTTATATACTACTTTTGACCATAACAAGTTGGTATAACCCCAATAGCTCCAAAAATTACTGCTAAAAGTTTATTGCAACTTTTGTCATTATCCCCATAAAAATCTATTCATTTTCAAAATAACCAGTTGACCAATTATTCAAATTTTGTGTATGTTATAGCCCTTTTAAATCCAAAAGGGTTGATACAACCTTTATTGCGGGGCTTACAAGTTCTTAAAACTTTTCTCAATTAAAGATTTTCTCAATAAATTATCAAAGTTTCTCTCACTGATTACCCATGTGCCATGATGGGTTTGACAAGCTTACGGGAGAAAGTATGTTTCAGATAGCTGATACCATTTATTATAATCTTTTGTTGCCATATTGTTCTTAATATTGTATGTTTTAGTCACCGACGCGCATTTCACCTCATTAAGGCATCTTAAATTCATACATACTCTGCCTCATTATAGACACTCTTAAAATACCTCAATGAGACAAAATACGCATCAGTGACCAAAACAAAATCAAGGCCCACATCAAAAGGTATCTTAAATATTGGTGCAAATTAACGCAAAAATCTCTTTATGTGACGCATCTACGTGCAACGCTCGTTCAACAGTATTTAATGATTCGGTCAAACGTCCAGTTTATTTGTTTCATAAATTGTGTCCTCAATAATGTCTCAACAGTAGCAAATCCTCTACACAAGTGCTGTGGACATGCGCATGGCGGGGGCGGCCAGTCGTAGGCGTCGCGGCGACAGTATCGCGTCGTCTGTACGACCGACCGGACGTGACATAACGTGTACGTGCCGTGTACACGACGTACTGTACATGTGCGACTGTGACGTGCAACTACGTGGTTCAACCTGCGCTGACAAGTTTGTGATCAACTGAATTTACATTTTGGACTTCCCTCATTAAAGAAGGCTACAAGGTAATGTTGTTTACATTTTATGTGGTATATTCTATAAAACACTATATTTGGTCGTTAGACTCTTTGAGCTCTCTTTTCACTCATATATACGCTTAAAGTATGAAAAATAATTATAAGTAGCATTGACTACTGTATACCGTTTCGTAGCAAGGAGCTGTGCTTCAATTTAGAAGAAAATGTTCTTTAAGAGGCTATTTAATATTTGAACGATGGTTATTATTTATTTTGGCGATTTCACTCGTGCTTTTTATAATGTGGCTATCTACGCAATTGCCGTAGCCATGATCTTGTTACCATCAAACATCAATCTGTTGTTACAAAGCATCATTAAAATTTCAGTAAAAAAATGTTAATCTGGGAAAACAAACTTCAAAATAGCTGGATTAAAAAAAAACTTGATATTTGCCAAATTTATTATCTGTGGACCAGTCATTAGTAATGAGGGTGGAATTCATGGATCTATTTTTAATCCACTATATCTACCATGGATTCTATCGTATACAGAATCATGAGTTTATAATATGTTAAAAATTTATGAAACTATCAACAATCATTGAACAAAACTGTACATTAAAACAGTTGACACATTTTAGAATACAAATAATCAGTTTTGTTTACAACAAGTTTTTTCAACCAATAGTTGTTATTTTGATGAATTAGTATGCGCATTACCGTCGCGGATTAAACAAAATCCCGACCCATCCCAACATGAAGCCGTTGAGACCCTATCTATCCGTGGTGAGATGTTTTATGCTCCAGTGACAGATTGGTTTCTTTGTCAATCTAGCTTTATGCCTCTCTCCACTCACAAAAACAGCCTCCACTTTCATGAATGTTTGAATATTTGATCACAACATGTTGATGAGATATTAAGGCAGTTTCAGTTTATTCAAGAGAAAAATTTCTACGTTACTTTAAATCATCACCTAACAATTGAGCAATAAAATTAATCCAATTTAAACTACCCTTGGTAAAGGAGTCTGTGTTAACAGTCTATCTTCCCTATCTGTTTTTTATGCCCTTCACGTTCTAGGACGCTAGGCTCTTGGCCTGAAATATTTTACACAATAGGTTACTTTAGGCTAGTAATAAGGTAGTGTCATTATCACATATATAAAATCCACCTCTGATTGACGGAATTTTAACCTGGGACAAAATGCCCGCCCTCTACCACTATATCAGTGCGGATTATCTTTAGAATATATTTCGTTGTGATACTTCAAAGCCAAATCTAGCTTCCAATTTCAAGGATTTAGACTGAAGCTAACACAAATGATAATACTTGTATACAAGATTGTTCACTATGTGACTCATACCAGAGTTCCAGCCCTCAGTAGCTTTACAGCTTCATTCACCTATCCTTACAAAAATGTTCAATAGATGTCATTAACGCTTGGGAAAGTGAGAGGTAGGAAATTTAATCCTAGGGGAAAACAACCCCTCCATAAAATAGTGTACGCTTAAAAATAATCTGTGACAGCAAACTGACACATACTTTCTCCCACTAGTCTGACGGAAAAACTGAACTCACTACTACTTTTATAAAGAAAATCAATTACAAAGTAGAAGCGGTGGGAGTAACTACTTGTATGAGGTTTTTATGGGAAAATCACAAAACATTCTATAACTTACAGAGCGTTGGGGGGTACCCATTTTGTTTCAAGTACGATAGACTCTAACATACCAAGTTTAATCAAAATCGGTCCTAAGCTGGAGTCTGTAGCTCTCAACACACACACAACATCACTTTGAAAATCCCCTTTTTTATCAGGGGGTCCTAAACGACAATTTCCATTTAAAACCGAAAGTCGTAATTGTTAACGAAAATAATACCGTATTAAAATAGTGATTTGTATTTATTATACTGACAACTATAGTAATTAGTAAGGTAAATGGCTACTCTGATTGTAAAACATATGATTCCTCAAAAAGTATAAATACAGAAAATTTGTCTAAGTAAGCACATCTGCCAAGTGCAAATCTAACATCAAACCCACACTGAGAGTATATCATGTTGACATTGGGGATTGGTTTATACATCTGTCACATAACATCTAGATATACATCATTGTTAGTGTAGCATTGTTGGTCTAAACTATTCTGGTCGTGCTAAGGATTTACACCTTTAGACAAGGAGGGGGTTTTATAAGTATATTTGGCTGGTTATGTTAAGTATTATAACGATCTAAATTAGGTAAAAACATTAATCAAGGAAATTGCTCCAAAACTTCTCAGTGAAAATTCTACAACTGGTTAGGTTTTATACATTAGCATTTATATTAAAAGGTAGAAAATGGAAAACTTATAAAAATCAAAAATATAGTAACATGGACAAGAAAACGTATAGTTAAAGTTTTACGGGGCAACAATGCAAAAAATTTGATTATAAGAGATGTTGTGTATACGATATTGGATACAATACTACTAAAAAAATACTATTATTTAAATATGAATTATTCCTTCAATACAAGAAAAGCATCATTAAAATTTTAGTAAAAAAATGTTAATCTGGGAAAACAAACTTCAAAATAGCTGGATTAAACAAACTTGATATTTGCCAAATTTATTATCTCTGGAACAGTCATGATACAGTTATGAACAGTTATGGTCTGGTCGCGGTTGTCAATGATAGGATTTAATATTATGCTGTATCATGTATAAGCTTGGTCATGTATTAAATTAAATTTGTTTATTACTCCAGGAGATAATGGATTAAATAATTAATTTAACTTTGGGTTTAAATTAATTATATTTTTCCCCAACAAGGGATGACATATAATTAATTTAGGGAACAATAGGGATTAATATAATTATAATTAATTTAGGGATAATTAATCAAGGGGGAACAAAGCCTATCTTATGAGTAGGGCCTACACATAATCTTGGATTTCTCACTTATATTTAATTTTTTTGTTTTAAAATAGCATAGACAAATGACAGCATAACCTGGATTAATAATATTTTCCTTCTTCACAGAACAAAGCTAATCGTTTATGACCATGTACATTTCAAAGCACTTAGCTTAATCAGATCTGAGTACAAATCTTCATCCGTTTTGTAGCATGACCTTTAAGGATAAATTTAAATGCTTGCATATTTTCATAGTCATAAGCGATTACATGTTTATATGTGTAGACGGACGAGTTTAGTAAAGAGGATTCTGCCAATAACACTTCAGGAAGCAATAAGGAAAAAAATAAGTTAATATCATCAACCATACATTGATTAGTTAAATATGTATTCAGTAAATAACAGAATTGAATCATAAAACATATTAATATTGTAAAAATTGAAGAGACATAGTAATATGTTTGTAAATATACGAACATATTGGTTTCTTGCGTGTTTTATAGCTTCTACCATTGATCTCGTAGGACCATTAAATATTACAGGAGGCCACACCTACCATATATATCTGCGACCTATTTACTCGGTGATGTTATTAGTAATAAATTAGAACGAATTATCCGCTGTGGTGAAAAAGCCCTTACTGCATTGACGAGACTCATCTAGCTTTTGGAATATCATTTCATTTTACATATTTATTTATTTTAATAATACTACAATTACGATCATAGACAACAACTAAACTATTTAAACCGCCATCCTCTTGCTTTATGTAAATTTTAGTAACTTTTATGTGCAGTACAAAATATCTGGTATCGATACATTAATTGATGTAACTGGTTGCCGATTCGGGTAGAAAAATACTGATGATAAAAATTACCAAAGCCATGTGCTTAGTTTAGTTATTTATATTTTTTATATAAAACATTTTCTTAACAATAAAGAAGTATAATATTTCAAAGCCAACTTGAAGAGTTAGTGTAATCAATGTGTTAAATGAAAAGATTACTTGGAACAAGTAATTACACCCGTTTTTTCAAAAGGTATGTTACAGAGTGAGATTTTTGTTTGTGGAAAGGTAAATCTAATTAAGTTTGTCCATTATATGGGATAATTATTCTTCCTCTAACAGTGGTGACAGTGTGAATAAATGAACAGTGTCGTTAGTGGTTGTCACTTCCCGTGATTAAGACTTGTTTTAGCTTAATTGGTAGTTTCTGTAGTCAATGTATTATTGCACCTTGCAATTCTAATTTCTTGTTTGATTATATAAACATGCAGAGTTCATAATATAAGGGGGTTTTCGTAATTATTATTATCACCTATCAAGATTATTAAGCCACCAAAGTGCACATTTTACCCCAAATATGAGTGAAGGAAGAGTGTAGAATGGCGTGATGCCTTGTGTTGCTTTGTTACTCACTAAGAACATGTTTCATTAGCCAGGACCGTTATAAAAAGTCCAATTATCAAGGAGAGCTAAATCTAGTTTCGTACAATCAAAAAGCTACACTTGCTATTCTTATTTTTTGCTTCATTTATTGTAGTTTCACTGGAGTAAAAATATTTGAACCAAATTCCAATCCATACAAGCTCTTGTTTACCTTCTCTTATTATTAGAAGTATTATTTATTATTAGAAGTTTGTGTACCTTCTCTTATTGTTGTCAAAGAATAAAGCACATATTGTAATATCAACTGTAAAATAATTGATAAAACACTTGAGTCAACATTAGTTCACCAACAATGAAATGTAAAGCAAACATCAAAACAGGCTTTAGATTTCACAGTAGGATGAGAAGCATGTTTGCAGCATCCAACCAATGTCACTCATTTTTAATAATATAACATATATGATATGTATGATATATGATATGATATATAAGATAACAGTTTTGAACAACAAATACAACCATTAGTTTCTTATTCTGTTTAATATTAAGAATACAATACACAGGCTTAGAATAGTTCAAACAATTGAACCATGTGCTGTATTGGGTACAAGCTAACTCGGCAGCCACATCTGTAATGAGAATAAAATGAATAATTATTTGTGTTGTGGCACAAATTCATACAATACAAATGTTCTAATAATAATTAATTTAAGAAATTTCTAACCGAAATTGCAATAAAAGGATGCAGTAATATGTGGAT